GCTGGTGTTTTTCCTCCAGCTCCTCTTCCCTGCTCTCTCTCCCCTATGGCATTTCTCTGTTCTGCATTTCCACCTTGCTAACTCGCTCCTAATGGGACTTACCCCTCACAAAGCAATATCACAGGGAAACGAAGCATTGTGGAACTGGCAATTGTAAACCTCATCACTGTGCCTGATCTCGGATGCATCTATCTCATTTTGGGGCTATTTATAAAGATAAAGGAAATAAGAACTACTCCAGCCCATCTAACCATGCCAAGGCAGAATCCACTCTGAAATGCATTCTGTGCTATAAAAGCCATGTGCAGCTTCCCCCAGTCGTAGCTATGCTTACTATTGTGAGCTTTCTACACTAAAAAGCTTTTTAAGTGAGGATTTTTTATTACTTCATGCCATTCAGTTCTGATCACTGCTGGTCTTACTTCCTCAGCCTGAGGCACATTGTAATAAAATAAAAACTGGATATGAAAAGTTGTGATTCTGATCTATGCAACTGAAAGAATAATGATTGATAATAACATATGTATGTACAAATAACTGCTTGTGTCAGGCTTTCATAGTTAAGTGTAGCTGAAAGACAGAAAGGATAGTAAATTTGTTCACCTCCTTTTGGTTCTCTCTTAGGCAGCAAGGAAAAACAGACAACCAGTAGATGATAATTTATCTAATACTAAAATTCTTACACTAGGCACCTAGCACTGGTGGTTAAATTTAGGAAGGAAGAATTTCATTCTGAGAGCCTTCAACATCCAGCACAGACCTACAGCAGAAACACCTCCTACAATCAAACCCCAAACTCCAACCCTCCTGCTCCTTTAAGAAGGAAGCAAAGGGCTGTTCCGAATTAAAAAAAAAAAAAAAAAAGAGTAGAAAATTTGGTTTAATGTTGCCCATCTGTATTTCATTCCTCCTGCAAGGAGGGGGCCCATCTTTCTCAGGTGCAGAAGTTTGGCTGTTTCCAGCAGGGTCAGCAGGGGCTCAGCTCCATGGGACAGCTGAGACAGAGACAGGCAACAAAACCCACTCTAGAACAAAGCTCTGAGCGCCTGCACAGCCACAAAAACACAGCAGCACTTGTCTGAAGTGTGGCCACGAGCTGCAAGGTGTTCATTTTTAAGTTTCTAATCTAGCAAGCAGTTGAGTTTATGAGCCTCTGCTCGTGTCTGGAGGCACACACTTGCCTTAGCTCCAAGCTCCCTGTGAAATGGCACCTCTGGCAACTTTCAGAGGGAAAAATTACCATCTGTGTGGGATGGATAATTCAGTGATTGAGTGAACTCCCTGACACATTCCTGTCATTGACTGAAGGCATTCTTGTACCATGAGATGCTGGCTGTGCCCTTACCTGATGCTGGAGACACTAGAGCAGCCTAGAGTTCCATTCCCACCCTGAGCAGCAGTCCTTCTAGCTGGGACTCCATTATTAATTATATTAATTATATAAACTAATTTTATAAATTAATATCCGTGGATAGACATGCAATTACAAGAAAAACAATTTAAAGCAAAATTCCCACCTGAAGGAACAAGAACACTTATGAAATTTAGTGAAGAAAACAGATTTAAATGAATTCAAATATTTGAATTTGTGTGAGGCAGTAGAAGCGATGTGAGAGGGAATGAAGAACAAAATTGCACTTATCACAGAAGAAACAATTGTTAAAAAATCCTAACAAAACCTGTAAGGAAGCAAGAAAAAAAAAATTGTAATTGAAAGAATTATGACATTTAAGTAAATGATGAATTAATTAGAGACAACAAACTGCACCTAGCAATAGATCATACTGCAATAACTTTATAAAAGTCAGAGCTTCTAGTTTTAAAATAAAATCCCTAAGTTGAATTTTAGAATGGAACCAGGGCAAGTATGTATTCAACAAAAGGGAATTCACATGCAGTATTACAATACAGTCTAAATTCTAGTAACCAATGAGCCCTTTTAGACTTAAGATAAACTGTATTGTTAAGAAAGGATTACTTATATAAAAAAAAACAGAAAAAAAATCAGATATATAATTATTATCAATATTGTATTACATTTTATAAATGTTTCTTCTTCTTTCCAACACAGCAAAATTTGTGAGTCTTTTCATGCTTCCATGGTGTATCTCAGAACTACGGCTGGGAGTCATTTTCCAAAGACATCTCTTTTCATGAATTTAACCCTGCTCTTTCCTCCTGGACAAGTCAAAAGAAAAATGCCCAAAAAGGTTCCTGGCTGCATCAATTAAGGTTTTATCTTTTGCTGGCTTCTGGTCAGCCTTCAGAGAATCAAGATACTGAAAACAGCCTATAAGAAAACCGAAACAAACCCGACCCAAAACCCAGCCCCCAAACCCTGGCTTGTTGTTTTTCTTCTATTACATTTTCTGCTCTTGGTCAGTGAACTCATGATTCACAAGAGGAATGATGTTCCTGTTACCTTCATCTTCTGTGGAGAGCAGGGTGCATTTATTCCAGTTAATAACTGGGGAAAGAAAAATATATTTATGGCAAATGTATGGATGTTAAAGAAAAAATCAGCATGTGATTGAACAAGGGAATCTCTACTAGCTGACCAAGAGTAATTGGTTTTGGGTGTTATTTACTGTAGTGAAGGTCCTACTTTCATGAAATTGCTCTAGACTTACTTCTATGCAAATAAGAGCAAAATTTATTCATTAGTTCAGCTGAATATCACCACTACATAGGAGTAACCTTATGAAAAATAGGAAAACCAACACTGTACAACCATATATTTGTCATCAATCAGTGAAATATTGCACAACTTTTTCTGAAAATGCACGAGGTGTCCAGAACCATGGAGTATTCCTAGAACCTTCCATATAGTGTCTGAGTGCCAGTGGCATCAACTTCCATTTGAAACAAACTGCCTCTTATAGCTGTAAAACAAAAAAACCTACAGTTTTAAAAACTACACTTTTATTTTTTAATGGCGTCATTATAAAGCTCAGCTCACAGATGCTGTTGCCTGGCCTTGCTGACACTGAAAGGGGAAAATTCAGATGACAGAGAAAATCCAGCTATTTTTGAGGATCAGGAAGAACTAAATGTTCCTTTCTATATAGATTTTAACATAAAAATTACTAGAGCATGCTAAGGCTGCAGACTCTGCTACTAATCTTTTCTTTGCATCCATGTAATTTCAGGATTTTGGTTGGTTTTTTTTTAATATTGAAGACTTTTCCCTCTGAATTTTGGCCTTACATGCAAATATCCATAAGCATATTGTAAGCCACATTTTGAAGTCTGGTGGTGCTCATAAATCAGGATAGTTACATTTGTACCAATTTTTGTGAGTGGGTGTTCATGTGCATGAGAAGATATGTGAAATTGAACAGTGAGATGAGCCATGATGAACATTAAAGGTCCAGAAGCAGATCAATAGCTGGTGTAAATCATCAGGGCTTCATTGATTCCCATGTTCCCACGATAAATGCTAATTCAGCTGGAGCTAAAAACATTGTCATCATCTGATCAGCTGCTCAGTGACAGTGGAGAGTGCAGGATGAGGGGCAGGCATTACCTCCACCCCTGTGAATGGTGCAAAAAGGTAAAATTCCCTGCTTGGTCACATGATTTGAAATCTCCTTTATTGGCTGCATGTGGGTATGCATGGAGAGGCAATGCTTATAAACACAAGAAGGCATTTTCTGAGACAAATACATGCCTTCTAGTGCTGTGATGGTACTTTTTTCTTCAAATGAAAACAAAATAAATTTCAAGAGACTGTATAAAATTTGCTTGTACAAATTTGTTGTGCTTCTATGAGGTTTTTCATACATCCCAGCAGCAAAGGGACACAAAACTCAGGTTTTAATCCACAATTTACATACAATACTTCAATTCATTTTCAAAACTAAAGCTTATTACAGAAATGATGGTTTCCCAGGTGTACAGAGAATTATAATATCGACAAAAAGGAATGAAGCCAGGTTGCATATAAAAATCTACACCTCCTAGGTGACTCTCAACAGGTTTTATTCTAAACATTTTCCACCAGATAAAGTTCATTACCTTGTTCTACCAATTTCCCATTTCACAAAGTTAAGATTTTACTGAACCTGTATATAAGAAATTAATTACACAATGGCATGAACAGAACCTGTGAGAAAAGGGACTTTGTGCATGGCTGGTGATGAACTCATCGATTCTGCTGTGAAGTTCTCTCAAACACCTTATCAAATGCTGCTGATTTCTGGTCTGCATACAAATGCAATGACGTGCCAGAATGGAATCAAATTAGGATGTTTAGAGTAAAAGCCCATTTGCAACGTTTCAAATTGTTCATATTTATTTGGAGGCCTCAGGATGGCATCTTAATCTTACACTGTCATTATTTCAAATAGAAAAAGAGATTTTTAATGCTATTTGGAGGAAGTCCCTTAGCTTGCAGACTGAAAAACCAAAAAAAAAAGCAGAACTGCTGCAACAGATATTTTGACAAGAGCTTTGAATGAAAAATAACAAAACCTCCAAAGGGAATTTCCCATTAATCTAATTTATTTGGAAGCACATTTTCACAATAATAATTAAATTATCTAACGTTCGCTTACATTAAAAAGCGACCATCTGTAACTGTTTAATATTAGAAAAAAAGGTGGAGGGAAAGGCCAATATTTTAAACTAATCACAGGGAAAAAGCAACAACTTCCAAACATCAAAGGATGTTTGACAGCTTCCTATGAAGTCAGCTGTTTCATCTCCTAGTGAAGTAGGCAACAGAAATTCCAGCATTTTCTGTGCAGTGGTGTCTTTAAAACTGTAACATGTTTATTTGTTAGACAACTATTCATCCAGTTTTCAGGGTGTTTGAGTAACAAAACATCTGATAATTAAAGACTTGTGACACAGGAATCCATGTTTAGTACAGACAACAAAAATAACAACTACATTTTCCTATGGAGGATTTTTTGCAGGAAGTTCATCCATGCCTTGCAAGTCTTCCGTGGGTGGAGAGTACCAGGTATGACCAACTGAGATATCATCGAGCAAAAAAGCGTTTTTTATCGGTTTTATTTCTCCTAGAAATGTCAGCACAGCACATTATATTGCCTGTAGTTTGAATAGATAAACGAGACAATAATTCCATTGTTATTTTCTTTTCTCAAAATGGTAGAATACATTTTCTTAAAAAGGTCTGCAAACATATTTACAGAAGTGTGAAATCAATAAATGCAGGCTCTTTATATTTTTACTGAACTTCCAAAGACTGACTGATATCCTAATTTTATTGGAAATCTGGTCCAAGGATGATACAAGAAATTAAATATCACACTCAATTTTGCTTTTGTGTAGGCTACCATGAAAAACAAATCAAATAGATAAAATATTTTGAAAAGAACAAACTTATGTTCCATGAAGCACATGAAGATATTCCAAAACCGTTTCTTATGTTTTCATTTCACCTTTAAAACATCTCTTGCCCTTAATGTTAAAACCTGGGACACCATCTTACTTTTGGAAAGCCAGCTGCTGTAATGTCAGTATAAAGTAGCCACTAAAATATCATTCACAGTATCTGCATCACAGGAATGGACTGTTTTCTTTTTCAAACAGGAGTGACAAAATTTGTGTTGTTGCCTTTATCTTTCACATTTTAAATACTATTGGCTGACAGAAATAAAGTGTAGTGTCATGCTTGGTTTACCTAAATCATTTATTTTGTAACTAATAAAAGTAAACAATTACCAGATACTGTATATATAGAGATATATAGATATATGGCCACAAATAAACTATAGTAGAAAGTTATTTTGGTTTTGATAAAGTTAAGAAAAGCACATAAAATCATATTTCATTAATATCTTGTTTTATGGCCATCAATATTTTTGTATTTTTTTTTTGTTTTGTTTCATCAACATAGCAAAATACAATCTTCTTATTAAACAATAATTATCAGATGGCAGACAATTCTTTTTATTGGTTTACATTGGCAGGTCACAGTCTAAAAGCACAACCACATCAGGCAGAAATTGCACACAGACCACCCTGGATTCTGAAGACTATTTTTTATGCTTCTACAAAAAGACCTTAATTTAAAACTGGGGACTGTAACAAGTACTAAGTAAGTACATGATTTTATTTTTTTTTATTTGGTTTAACTTTTGGGTTGTTTTTTTGTTTTTTTTTTTTTTGTTAAACAGGCAGGCAAAATAACTGAAATTGCAATACTTTATTTTGGTTTCAGCTTAATTTTAATATCTCTCTCAATGTTAGCAAACAGGCTTTAAACTTCTCAACAATCCTTTATAATAAAAGTTCAATCACCCTAAAAAAATATAATACAATAAAACCCAGGTGATTTTTTTTTTCCCATCATGGAATACTGCAGATTTATTTCAATTTGGCCTGTTCCTCACCTTTTTGTTTGTTTGTTTGTTTTTGTGTTTGGTTTTTTTTTTGTGTGTTGATATTGCATTTTTAACTCATTCCTGAAATCTGGAGGACGTTTATGTGTGATGACAGTCACAATACCAATATTTCTGTAAGAAATGGCTGTGGTGGGGCTGGCCCATCAATATTCAGTTTTATTAATTGTAGAAGGCATCCTCATGTCTTCAAAAACCAGACTGGTCTTAAGATATTACTCTTTATTTGAGACAGTTACCATTACTTCATTAAAAAATGACAAAACAGCAATAAACATTTTAGCTCTTTAATGAGCAAAGATCAGGTCTCTTAACATTGGAATAATATTCGTTATCCAGATTATCTTTATTTCACTCAGTGACCAGTAATATGGCCAAGAAATACAAAGTAATTTTCCATCAAGTAGTATACAATTTTTGTGTGTAATAAGCTTTCATTCTTGAAAAAGAGTAACTGAAAAGAAATGTTTCTGTTACTGCAGTTAGTTTGTCAGAGAAAGTTCTTCGCATTATCTTACAAACTATCAAAATTGCTAGTAATTTGAAAAAATGTAAAAAAAAATCACATAACTTTAGTCTAATAGAAATATAGTACAGGTAAGAGAGAAAGTATTTATCAGGGATGTGCTCTTAAGTCCATCTCAATTATTTCTTTTATATAAATGTACATCTGATTACATATACAAACGTTTTGAAAGGACCATGGTATAGAATTACTGGAAAGCAACAGGGGAATGAAAAATATCTTGTGATTTTAGAACATTCACTTCAAATCACACAAACATATGTAATATCAAGATTTTTAAATTTCCAGTTGTTGGCTCTCTCCCCGTTCTCATATACCCTCTTTTTCTACACTCTTGCCATCTGGTCTAGAGAATTAATTGGAATGACAAAGCTGATGTATAGCAAAAAGGGAATTAACATTATATTAAAGTATTATAATTAAACTTTGTAACATGCAACATGAGTTGAAACAATAAACTGAAAGGTGTAATCAGAGCAGTAATATTGGGGCATTTTTAAATGGCAAAATGTCATTGCAATTAAATTTTTGGACACACTTTACCTTACCAATTTGAACAAAATATTCTGTAATTAAATCACAGCAAATTATAAATCCTTCATCAAAGGAAATTCCATTATAGTTATTTCAAAGTTAGAAATTATTTAGGTGGAAAGGAAAAAGAACATTAATAGTATACATTTTTTTGTCTGGGATTCATCTCAGGGAGGGTCCACCACTGTATATCTAGAATGCCATAAATACCTTTAAGAACTGTTGCAATCCCCTCTCTTTCACAGGCTACCATGAAATACTGTACTGTAATTACTTTTGCTCCTTTAAAAAAACTTCTTTAGGTTGTGCCAATTGATGGAGAAAGCTTCTATTAAAAACTCCAATGGGATGAGAAGAATTTTAATTACGGCTTAATCAGCAGCACAGCCACCAAGCATATAAATTATCATGCACATCGTGCTAAAAATATCCAGTTTCCTTTATTCCCACAACTTTTATACTGACAGCACTTATGTGATAATGTTGTACCTGCCAGGCTGTAAAACTTCTCTGACTGGCAGAATTCAGCATGAGCCCCTTTCTAAGGCCTTAACAGCATTGGTGCTTTGTGTACTTATTCAAATATGTAAATATGGTCTACACAAGAAAACAGGTCCAAATAAAAATTGGTGAAAATTATCTGACATTCCATTAGTGTGTCCCTTGTGCATATTTATAGGTTTTTAAAATTTTCAGTCATAGTTCTTTCCTGTTTGTGTTGCACATGCCTAATTCCATTATGTAACTTAAATCTTCAAAAAATTAATACTTGAATGTGAATGAAAAAGTATCATTCAGGACAACTGCTTCAAGCAATTGCAAACAGTTGGGTTTTTTTGTTTTTTGTTTCTTTTTTTTTCTTTTGTTTTGTTTGTTTCTTAAGTTCATTTGATATATGTACAATTCATTTTTTTCAAAACCCCAAATGTTCTTGATATGTATATTCACATAATATTCCTCCATATTTAAATAGTAAGAGTCTTGTAGGTTGAAAGCCAAGTAATCTTCAGTAATATCACCTACTGTAATCCATCAAAAAATAAAGTTTGTTTCGTCTTGTCTGGCTATACCCTGGTTGTTGAGTGTGAATGGGGGTGGGGATGAGGATGGGGCAGAGTATTGTTCTGTCCTCCGGTAAATGTGTTGAATGTGTGTAGGGGCTGAATCCCTGGTATAGTGTTGGGGATCATTGTGATGGTGTTGGGTGTCATTAAGGGGATATCATCAGGAGACCTTCTCATAGCTAGCGTGTAGTCTGGGGGACAGGCGGTCCTAAGAACCACCTCATGTGGATGGATGGACTCACATTCATGATCCAAGTCAGTGTGCTTCATTTGGAGGGACATTATCTCCTCTTCTTGTGCATGGGTGAGATCATTGGTAGTGGTACGTTGTGGGCTACATCTCCTGTGCACGTCATGTCTCCGCTTGTCCTTTTTGTAGTACAACGCTGCAAAGGCCAGAATGTTCAGGAACAGCAAAGATGCGCCAACTGCGATAGTAACGCTCAATTCTGTTGAGTAGTCCCTTTGATCCACTGAAAATGGGCTTGGTTGTTGTTTGGGGTCATCTTGCTTGGCTGTAGGAAAGGCTGAAGTAACTGAAACAGAATTTTTCCTTGTGGGTCTGAAAGTATTATCAGTCGATGGCACTTTAGTTGTGGTAGAGGTATACTGTGAAATGTCGTTAAGATTGTGCAGATGAGGTACCAGTTCCAACCAAAGGTTCACTTTATTGGCCCTATAGTGTTCTTTAACTCGTGGTTTTAATCCAATGTGAAGATACAGCTGGTCTTTCTGAGAATATCTGGTCCATGCTACTTCTTCAAAACGATTTGGTTTTGTGTGGATGAATTTTGTGTCTTGCGGCACTGGCTGATTTGGGTCACTAAAAGAAAAAGATATCTCCAATGTTACAAAGCATTTCAAATGGAATTATAACATTAACGTAATTAAGATTTTAGACTAAATGTTTAAGACTGCCTTTGGACGGAGCAGAGTGCTATTCCCTAAAATTAGAGGCCTTAATAATCTTGATTAGAAACAGCATTATGCAAAAGAACTTTTCTTTTACACATACTTCAGTGACTTCTCTGGTTCTCCAAAATGTTGGTGTCTCACAGTGAAACTTTGTGCTGCTGAGGGAAGATTGCCTGGGGGGTGTGGTAATGTGGACAAATGTCTGTGAGAGACCAGTGTGAGAGAACATTAAGATTTTCTTTATCATTTTTGGCAGCATAAAGTCCATACAACTCTGCATTTCTGGTCCTGTGAATCATCTGTGGCCTCCCAGAGGGGAAGGATCATGGCAGAGCACAACTCAGTGCAATGCATAGTCAAAAATAAGTGGTCAAATGTAACAAAGGTTTTTGAACTCCTGTGAAAAAAAAGAATTAATGAAAATGGCAAAACTTTCCAAGTTTAAAGTCACATATTTTGTGGTCAGAAGTGAGAATTTAAGACAAAATATGCTACTGAAATAAGCTGTATTATATTTGATGCAATATTTATGTAATTTTCTGTCTCATGGGATGAAAATATCAGTGGTGGGATAAAGGCAGGTACTAATATAGCTAGTTTTCACTATATACATATGTTATATGCTTAGTTCTACACTTTTCTAGAGTTTCCCTAATTAGTTTTGTGTATATTTTAAAATTTCCTTGCATAAAGGGATCTGCCAAGATATTTTTCCCTCCTTTTCCTAAAACATGTAAGTGGGCCAAAGGACATTACAGTAAACCTAAATACCCAACACAATTCTTAATCTCTTATCCATCCTACAAGTACACAGGAACTCCCAAGGGAGATAACAAATGGAAAACATCCTTCCATCCAAAGTTTGCCTACAAGGCCGTTCATTATCTGGTACTCACCCAGTTTTTGCAAAGTTTGTCCAATACGTCATCACCACTGCACTCAGCATGACATCATTTTTGGAGAAATTACAAGGAAATAACTCAGTAGGACCAATCATGGGGATTCCTAGTACATAAGGAACCTCATCTCCATGGGCTGCATCCGCCCATGCAGGTACCTGATCTGTCTGGCAATGATGGTAGAAGGCATAGAAATACGTAGGCGATCCAAAATTCGAGTGAAGATCTGCTGTGGCCACCGCTGGTGCAACCCACTGGTGATCAGTAAACAAAGCCAGCAGCGTTTTCCTTCTGGTCTCGGGGTTGTGCCGGTCTGCCCAGTCTGTGTACATAAATTTAATAGTTTCCCTCAGTATGTCTTTGCCTTCGGGGTATCCGTATAAGTTATCGACAAAATTAGAAACTGCAAAGTCAAAATCACTGGCTGATATGCCATCTTCGCTATCCACAATGTTCTCAACAAACTTCAACCCTTCCCCTTGGTTAACTCCCAGCATGATGTCATAGTTGAGGAATTCTCCTTGCTCCATCAAGATCTGAGGGTCGTCTGGTATCACGTCGCCGTCGATGACTGGTCCAAAGGCTATGTGGTATCTTGCTGGCTGAATGTCCTGGTCCACAAGTTCTCTGTAAGGCTTCTTCTGTAGACATTCTACCAGTTCTACAGTGTCTGACATGTTGCAACCAACTTTTGTAGCCAACATCCTGGCGTATTTTGCAGGCTGAAAGCTAACTGCCCAGCTGGAGAGAGCTGTTCCACTTTGAGCTATTGCTCTTTGAAAAAGTCCTGTGGGGAGAAATATTTGAAAACTACTGAAGCGACCTTGAAACAGCCACACAGTTTGAAAGATTCAAAGGAGTTCTTTGAAACAATAGAAAACTTTAACAGAAGAGATACCTGAATCTTAATAGTACTTAAATATACAGGGTGGGGAGATCTGACTGCTGTTGTACCTACAGGTAATGTGCATAAAATAAATGCAGTATGTGCTGAAGCTAATGATTCTCCCTCAATATAGTCCAGCTGAGGAACAGATTTTCAAAAGAAACTCAGGAAAAAAAAGGAGTGGCATTACCTTATGTAGGACAACGCTATCAGATTAAAAAATATTCTTAAAATTAAAGCACCTTATAGGTTGGAGGAAAAGCCATCAAGTCTCCGAATTGGGTTGAAGTTTTAGGTATTGTTCAAGCCATCAGCAGCATGCATGCATACAACTATGTGTTAAATAAATCTATTACACTTTTTAATCTTTTCTTTGGGATTTCAAACTTGGTTTGAAAGGTGTAGTGCTTTTAAATTGGGTATCACTGCAAAAGTTTATATTCTGGAGTAATAGATGAGGAGGTACCAGGCAGCTATTAAATTGATAAGTGCCTAAGTCAAAATCCTTTCTTGTAAGGAGCTTTTTAAAGGCAGGTTTATATTGATTACACTTACATAAAAAGGGAAATGATGTATTTTACACTGTTTAGCTTTGTAATTCAGAGATTTAAACATATGTTCAGGTATTCAGTTAAGGGAAAGAAAATGATCTGGCACTGCATATAAACATGCAGTAAATCCCAAAGACTTCAGTGCAATTAACTTGAATTTATGCTGATTTAATTAGCACTCTGGACCAGGAATTCTACCCAAAGAAATAGCAAAATATGTTAAAATTTATGTTTTACTCTCCCTTCTGAAAGGATTTTTAAAACATGTCATGGATGATAGCTTCACCCTGTTGTAGTCAGTAAATTAATATAATTATTTTGATATTGGCTTTAATGAAATCAGAACTCCATCCTTGTTCTAATACTCCTTGTGCTCTCTTTTCATTTTTTCACTATATTTGAAGGGTACTTTGCATTCTGAAAGAGATTATAAGTCTGAACCTTGTGTAAAATATTGCTCAGAAACTATATTTAGGTAATTTAGATTGTATTTAATAGGTATTTAGTCTATATTTAGGTAACAGTACCTTTTTTGCTGTTTAGTGAGATTTTTTTTCTTCATTCCCATAGAAGTTGATTTTGGTATCATACTTTTTGCACAGACTACTGAAAAATACTGGACCCTACCTCCTATAGGTCACTCTGGGTAATAAAAAATCATCTATAGTGTTCAAAAATGATGCTGATTTAAGATATATGGGTGAAAAGTTTGTTTCACTTGTGCTGAAGGGCACCTGGAGTCATTCCACTGTCTCTGGTGGAGGTGTTTAGGGATGGAAAGTGACACTCAGTTCCACCAGGAATATTTGGTCCAATGCTTGATGAATAGCTGGATACTCCCACTGGAGGAACTGGAGTCAGGGCACTCAGCTTACCTCAGAAATGTATTCCAATAATGCACAAGATGGCTTTTGCTTTGATAAGCAACGTATTTCTATTGATAAAAACCTCCCTAGGCCCTAAATCAAATCAGAGAAATGCTTTTACAGCCTCTATTGCAGCACCAGGCCCTGTAAACTCAAAAATAAGTCAGAATCTGTTGCTGGCAGGAAATGTTTTACAAGCTTCTCAGGAATTTTTAAATCATTCTAGATTGTATTAGGTCCTAATCAAAAAGTCTTCAGATAGGTGTAGAGACTGAAATGTGTAAACTCAAGCCTCTTCTTAAACTTATGACAAGTCATATCCAAGATATTATTTTCTTGCAAGATATGAGTAAAAATAAGAATGAACTTGAGCTATAAACAGCTAAAATATATTTGCATGCTTATAAGGTCAGATATTGAGCTAGTATAAATCAGCTGAAAGTCAGTAGAATTACCACAGAGGATTCAGGCATTGTAATAAATGTAACTAAATGACAAAGCTGAATTTTCACAAAGATGTATTTCATGATAAGTTATAAATGTGTGGGTTTTTGCATATTGTGTAAATCTAGCTTTATTGCTTTATTAAATATGTCTGAACAAGGACAGAAAGTGTAAGCTACGTGTAAGGAAATGCTGATACAAACACTGTGGCTTGCTAAGTGCTACATAAACATCAGATGCTGGATTAAGTAAAAGTGGTCAAGTCCTTTGGCCATAAAACCATCTAAAGAAGTGAAACTAAACATCCCTCCTTGTGCTGAAGAATGCTGACAGAGCTATTCCTCCACTCAAACCATTTGGTGAAAAATGAACACTATGAACAATTATTTTCATTCATACAGAATTCATGGCAGAAATTTGTACCTCACAGGATGGAGAACTACATTTTTATCTGATAATGTGTATGATTATTATTGCTTATGGGCTTCAGACTGATGGAAAGAAGATTTAAATGTTCAATGGGCCATAGTGCTTTGTGACCCTTATTCAGTGTCTCACCACAGTAAATAATAATAATTTGCATGTATTCATCTATATTTTGAGAGCACTTTGTGAAGATGGGTGCTTCTCTGCCCACTTGCAGGTGGGTGGCTGTGAACAGCTCCATCTTGAAATAGGCTGAATTCTTCCTCTCAACTGCCAAGGGAACCTTTCAGAGGGAAATGACAGAAGCAAAGAGAGCTTCTGAATTTATAGCTTATGAAAGAGACTGCTTGATAATCATAGAATCACACAATCACAGGATGGTTTGGGTTGGAAGGGCCTTAAAGTTCATCCTGTTCCACTCCCTGCCATGGGCAGGGACACTTTCCATTAGCCCAGGTTGCTCCAAGCCCTGTCCACCCTGGCCTGGGACACTTCCAGGGGTGGGACACCCACAGCTTCTCTGGGCAACCTGTGCCAGGGCCTCCCCACCCTCACAGGGAACAATTTCTTCATAATATCTGATCTAACCCTGCTCTCTGTCATTTTGAAGCCTTCTCCCTTGTCCTATCACTACATGCTCTTGTAAAAGGTCCTTCTCCACCTCTCATATGTCAATGTGAGCCAACATGAAACAAAAAGGGGTCTGGAAATGTTAAGAAATTACTTTTGAACCTGACCAATTTATATTTTATTTTTTCTTTCTTTTTTTTTTTTAATGGCAGATTTAACCACCTCCAAATGTAACATAACATACATGGGAGCATGGTGAGTTGTTCTATTCAATCCAAATTTCATCAAAGCATGGGTTTGCTTTTAAAATAAATCCTCAAAAAATTACTTTTACTGAACTTTCTTCAGACCCCTTCAAAATGCCTTGATCTGCTGTGTTGACAACTTAGTGCCTCAGTTTCTCCCAAACAAATTCTGCTCCTGGCAGAACTCTGGCCATGAGCTGGGATATGACAGGGTATCATTTGCTGGTAAGAGGCAACACATGACTATCCAAATATTGTAAATGTGGCATTTTGCACTGATGCCGTGTTACACCAAGAAGATTGATTTTAACACCACGTAAAGAGTTAGGGGAAAATAAACCAGGTGTCCTCATTCAACCTGGAGTTAATTCTTGATGATAAAGCTGGTTTTTAGAGCTCTGATGAAAGAAGATGGTGCACTGACACCCTCAGGTTACAGTGCAGTGAGGTAATGCTTACATCTTGTTCTTACAAGCATCTTCTTTTCAGTATCTCCTATTTAAGTTCAGGTAGTTATGGAAGAAAAAAAAAGATTACATAAAAATCAAATTGCAAAAATAGGCTAAAATTTAGACCACAGTCTTATTTTTCACTTAACTCTTTTTGTAGAAGTTATGTTTTTCTCTCATTTAAAAAAGCATAGTGGCATGGTCTAAAGAATCTCTCACTTCTGTTGACCTCAGTGGTCTTTGTAACATGACTTTGGGGAAATGCAGCTCTTTTAATGTCAGCAGAATTATGTTTTTATGGCCAGTCAATTAGTCCCCCATGGAGATACAGCAATATAAATTAGTGGAGGATTATATGCACAGGGCACAGTGTGGTGTCCCTGGTAAAACTAATACAGATAAAAATATGTGAAAACTGTAAGACAAAAGTAACATGATCAGTAAGCAATAGCCATGCAAATGAGAGACACTGTGTGAAACTGTGGTGCAAAAATCATAGAAAGAATAAGTTAGGTGCCTCAAACAGCATGATTTTAATTCCCTGTCACCTGCCTCAACTAGAGAGAAAAGGTGTTAGTTATGGAATAGGAAAAAACATATAGAAGGAAATCCATTTGCAACTTGGATGCTTTGACAATTTTGGATCATGCATGCAAAACATTCAACCATTCTTTTATTAGATGACGGCAAGTGAACTCCATGCAGTTTCAGACAAAAGATTTCTGAACTAGTTACTTGTTTCCTTCACACAAAATAATAGTTTTAAGCAATTCAGCTGTTAGCCTGAAAAGAGAAACTGTGTCATTTTAGTTTTCTTTAAACTCTGCTCCTCAGGAGAAACTAAACACGCCTTTCACAACTGTCTGAATATAGATGACCTCATCTACTCTGAGCATGACTGACTGATTTTCCAAAAAAGACACCCTTAGGTAGGAAAGAAGAGAGACAAAAATGATGCACCAAGAAAATGTTGTTCAGAAGTCTGCTATAAAGTGTTTCTACAAAGCTCCATAGGAAAAAGAAGAAAGTGACCCAAAATTTAAACATGCACAGAAGAGCTGAGGGAGAAGGAGGCTTGTACAGCCTTTAAAAAGTTTCTTAATATTGAGCTGAACTCAAGAGTTCATAGAAACAAAGAGAATATACAGAACATCACATAGTACTAATGGTGGTGGCATGCAGACACCAAAATTGTCAAAATTTGCAACCTGCATAATACCTTTGGTTGAATTGCTCCAACGGTTACCTTCAGAATAATGGGATAAAGTCAACAGATTGACGCATGAACCGCCTGCCCCAGATCCAAAAACAGTTATTCTTAATGGGTCACCACCAAAGAACCCAATATTTTCACTAGTCCATCGCAAAGCTTGAATTAGATCAAGGAGGCCGTAGTTTCCTTTTGCTGCTTGGTCCCCAGTGCTCAGAAATCCTGTTAAAGTAAATGAAAAGAGAAGGGGTTAGCAAGGGCTCTTCTGAGTGATCCTGTTAAAATCTTCCAAGAAAAATTTCAGGACTATATGCCATTAAATAGCGTGCAACTACATAACTTTCCATTATGTCCCTGGGAGAAATTTGTAATTTTGCTCTCCTCCTGAAATTAAAAATATTTGGTATCCACTCTTTTGGCCATGACAAATATATGTAGCAAAGATGAAGATACATCCCAGGCAAAATACTCATCTAAATCTTAACAGGTCATTGCTTGTTATTCCCAAGGACTTTGTGTTGATTGTACTGAGTTTAAGAGTTTAGGAAACAGATAAGATGTGGTTGTTTTGTAAATGATTTGGTCAACTCTGTGTTGCTTTTCTGTACTTGGATGCAGCCGTGAGCTTTGCATGTGCCTGAGATGCAGCGATTACACTTCCCTGTAGACTCTCTTTGATCCTGTCCTGGCAACTCATTGTCTTTTACTTTTTTCTCTGCCCAAAAATGCAGTCTATGCCACAGGACAAGCCAGACTGAACAATGGGAGCGGCTCTCAACTCCCTGAGCTCCATCCCATAGTCATTAACCTGAGTTAATTGAATCTACATTAAATGGATAAAGACAATTTAGGTAGTTTCCATGACCCCTTAACAGCAAAGAGCTCAGGGGTAATCTGGAGAGCACTACAATTGCTCCCTTTTATTCCTGGAGGAAAAGTGTTGGAATGTGTCAGGTGCAGGAAGGACTGTTCCACACTTAACTCCCAGCAGTCCCTTCACATTTAGCACTGCTGTTACTCTTGTCATTAGAGCCTCCTGACTCTAAAAGATGTACAGCAGAAACTCTGGAGAAAGTCTCTGTTGATAAAAGACATCGCTTTTGGACCCCATTTGTTGACATTTCCCATTTTCTCAGCTTCATAAACAAATGTTTAAATACTACCAGCATTATGAAGTAGTCCATACCTCCATTTGCATATCAAACTGATTTGATGCTCACTAAATCGTGTAACTGCTTTTCAGTACATGCTTTGTAGAGAAATGCAACGATTACAACAATTATTTCCACATTAATTAGATATCAGTGGGTCTTCTAGTCTCGTCAAAGTTCTACTGATTCAACTCTCTTGAGTGCAGACAGCCTACTCAAAGGAAGTTTACAGTAGTTTTGCAGACAAATGGCTCTCAAAGGAGTCCTACTCTTTCATTATGACAATAAAAGCAGCTTTTAAGACATTTCTAAGAAGACATATGTGTGTATACCTCTATGTAGCAAGGACTTAACAAGAATACAGATATGTGTGTACCTATATCCATGGATATAATGAACATATAATTTGTTACTTTATTATTACTCTGATTTGGCTTCAAATGACAAGCTTGCATTTGATGTTCTGCCCTATGTACAGAGACATTTATACCAACAGCCCTTCTTTGCTGTAAACGGCACTGAAAGCTCACTGGCCTCACTGCCTCAGCAGCTTTGTTTGTGTAGGTCAACCCTGATTTTTGTAACCACAGAGAGGGAAGAGGAAAGTGGCATAAGGTGCCAGGCCAGCAATTTTCCCACTTCCAGACCTAATGTACCAAGTCTAATAGACACACTTCATTCATTGTATCTGTAGTAAATTGTTGCTCAATGCTAGACTTTAAAATAACCACTCTTTTACAATTGAAACCTGCCATATTTATTATCAAACTGCATAAAAAGCAAGGTAGCAGCACTACCATAGAAGAAAATACGCTGTTGGCATTCAGGAGAAGCCTAGAAAGGAAGACATAGTTATAATTAATTCATTCATTCTCACTTTACTCTTACAGCTCAGCACTGAGTTGAGATTATGATGATGTTATTTTACTCTGCTTCAGGCTCCCTGTGGCCAGAGGGTTGGCGTGCATGTGAAACATGGCCCCAGCACAATCCTGCCTGCACAGGAACATTCATTCTTGTCTTCATGCTCCAGTAAAATGTTGTTCCCCATAAGTAATTTTTAAGGACATGGAGAGATGATGTCTTTGAATACCATGGCAAATGAGATTACAAATCTAATGAAAGCTCCCTAACCAGTGTCACTGCCTTTGTCAGCCTGCTTGGAGTTGAGGGATGGTACCGGGGACTGTGATGGAATTGAAACGTAGGAATTTGTGGGAACTGCAGGATCCTGTGGCTGTACACCCTGGAAAAGTATTCCCCTTTCTTTGCATAAGTGTATAGCTGTGGAAATTCAGTGACAAATCAGTTAATCATCAAGCACACAGGTGACTGCACTGATTCCAGGGGTTAGCACAGACAGCAATGAGATGAGAGCACTTACAGCAGCTACCAAAGCTGTGACATAAACATGTCCCTCTTTGCTTTTCTGCTTCCCCTGGCTTTCAGATTCCCTGAGTCTGGTCAGGATCTGCCTCAGCAGAGCTGCAACTTTGCTTCGAAGAGATCCAATAGATTTCTCAACATTATTCCAAGGCATTTATTAGGAAATTAGATGGTGGGGTTATAGCTGAGCTACACTGATCACTCTGAAGGAACACAAAAACTTTCTGAAAAAGTTGTTTTCTTTACTCTGTGTAATATGCAGCACAGTAAAAACCATAAGACTTCGCCTGGAAAAGCAACAGATTAAAATTATAGACAAAGCTTTAGGGCAAACCCCTGGTGTCAAACCAGTTCATATCGAGTCCCATAGCTGTATGAGGAAATGAGATATCCTTGGGAGACTATAAATGCATTACTTTTAAAGAACATTCATGAATCTCCTGTTGCTAAAAGTAGATATCAGAAACCTTGCATTCAGTTCAGGGAATGTGCCAGGAGGGGGAGCTTTCAGTTTATTAAAAAAAAAAAAAAAAAAAAAAAAAAAAAAAAAAAAAGAAGAAAAAAGACAAAGCTAGTAATATTCTCCTCATTCATCTATATTAAACAAGTTATGACTTGTGTCCAGAGCAACAGCTCTGATGCAAAAGAAATATCTCACGCCTCCTCAGCAAGAACCACACTGGCTGATTTCCATATCTGCACAAGATGGATGATGATTGATGTTGACTTTCATGACATGAAACATTTCTATCTCATTTTTCAGAAGCATAAGAAACCTGTTAATATCACCACCTGTTCATGACTTTTTTTTCTTGTAAGCAGTGGTATCAGCATGGCTTAGGAGCATTCAGAATGTCATGAAACCAGAGATGGGACTGATAAAACAGATGAGGTTTTTCTTTCCAGTTTGTGGTTTTAGTTTTTTTTCCCTAGTGAGAAGTGCCTCAATACAGATAAACTCATGGAACTGAACATCTGGAGGGAAGTGTTTTAACAGCAGCATCATCCCCAGCCTGCAGGTCTGTGGGTGCAGGTACTTATTCCTATTTATCACAGAGATAAAACAGAGATTGGAACAATAGGTTTTGTCTTCATCCCAAGAGGAGCTTTCAGTGGGTAATGGATATAGATACCATACATTTTGGTGTATTCCTATGACACAACCATTATACTATCTAGTTATTAAGCTTGTAATTTTCAGACACTGAGAGAAACCTGTTCTTGCTGAAAAGGTCTTGTGTGTCTGAAAGTTTCTTTGTTTTTAAATTGTATCAGCTAGTCTATTAAAATATATTATCTCTTTCTGCACATACTGTCTTATTATTATCCTTGGATTGCCATCTCACCAAGAATGCTGCTATCATATTCTGCCACCTTTTGCTCTTGTAAAAAGAGGGAAGCAAATTATTCCTTATTTCAGTAATTCCAGGAAGACATTTGCAAAAAAACTTAGTTTTGCATTATTCTCTAAAAAGGTCAGATTGAGCTAATTTTGTTCCATAATTAAGTCCTTCTACTGGAAATATTCCAATCATCAGCTGAACAATTGCTATTTTATATTCTGAATGGAGAGGTTATCTCTTCTTTTATCTCCTCCAGAGGAGCAGACTCTAATAGAATTATGGAATTGAGGATGTGGTCTTTTGTGAGTTTAAGAAAGAGATTTATTAAGCTCATTTGGACCATTTCTCTGTTACATGTCTGTTAGACAAATATGCAGAGAGTGCCACAACCAGGCCCTCTATTTTGTATTAAGATAAATTTTTATGCTTTATAGGCTTATCTGCCTGGGTAATGATTTCTGCTTGCCATTCAGATAAATCTTTTTCTAATATGATTCCAGCATTTTTTTAAAGAGTAAATAAAATAATGGACTTGGGAAACTTAAAATACTTAGCTGAAAACCTTAGGTAGTTTGAATTATTTTAAGCTCTGGCCTAATTTGAAGATTCAAATTAATGCAGAGAGGGAGGCTAAGATAGATTTTTTCCTAATGTAAGGGACTGCTGCAAGCCAGTGATGCAGTGAGAGACCAGGTGCAGGCTGGTGGGTATGAAAATGCCATTTCACATCACAAGAGACCCAAATCATCCCTCTAACGAGTTCTGTCCGTATGAGTGTTTGATGATCCAGTGACCTTCGTGGCTGAAAGGAAGCAAGGGGCAGAATGTCTTGCTGGACACACACCAAAAAATATCTGCCTGTGAGAAAATACACAACAACAAATGCTACTCTAAAAATAAAGCACAAGAGCATATAAAAACTGGTCTGACATGCTTAAAGGGCTTTTTCCAAGAGTTGTGTCTCTGAAAGCAGTAACACTTAAGACTTCAATATTACCCACCTGTTTAGGCATGTGTTATAATAACTTAGCTAGGTTTCCAGTTACAATTCCCTGTGCAGTCAAATGCCAGCTTTAATTTTGTTAAAAGCAAATGTTAGATGGTACAAGTATAAATGCACCAAAGCATAGTGGAAGAGTACAGAGCAGTTTTTGAGGGAAGAATTTGTATTCCCTCTGGATTCATTGCTCAGGACTTTAGTTCAACACCTTCTATAAATATTGAATGGTAATTGCCATATACAGAAATTTTCTACTGCCCTTTAAACTATACCTACCCAGATAGGAGTGTGAGCAAGATAAGCAAATTTTAAGAGAGGTGGTTAAACTTAAAGAGCACATTT